AAAAAGTGCAAATTTGGATGACTCTTTAAATTTCATTTGTGTCACATAAATTGAGACAACAAAAATAACATATATTGGGTCCATTTTAATTTATTTGTCTTATTTTTTTAAATTTTTTATATTTAAAAATTGCGTAAAAATACTATAAATCATGATAATTGACAACATAAAATATTTCAAAAATAAATACATTTTAAAAAATTCGATTGATTCTTGAAATTAATCTATCGTTAAAAATTATGTATAAAATACAATTAATCGTGATAATTGACAACTTAAAATATTTATTAAAAAAACAGAAATTTTTTTTGACTGATTCTTAAAATTAAATCGTGATAATTGACAACATAAAATTGTTCAAAAATGTTGTATGTGGGTAGTCTTATTGTTCCTTGAATAGCGTCAAAGAAAGTACAGGTTTGTGATAATCCACGCAAATAATCGCTTCAAAAACTTCGTTATTAGCCCCAAAAACATACCATTTATGTTATTGGGCCCGTGCATAGCACGGGCAACAAAATCTAGTGTTAATAAAAAATACAGACAGTATGTAACGTTTGAGGTTAAAGTAAGAGCATAAGTCAAAATTATCGGTTAGTTGACATGCACCAATTCTACAAGTTCAGGCCCCACATATCCTTTTACTATTCTCTATTTTGATAAGCCAAGTTGATTTAGACTATTTGGAGGATTCAAATTTATCCACATCTTTAATTAGGAAATAGGAATGGAGCTATTTCAAATCCAATCTACCTAAACTTGAACAAATTGAAAATTATACTTTTATTACCATGTACTAAATTTGACATTACTAATGGATGCCCGAAAAATGTTATGAATCTTGAAAGTAGAAGGTCCTAGATCGAAAACAATGTTGGGTTCGAAAGAAAACAATGTTGGGTTCGAAAGTGATTAGGGCGCCATGTGGAAGCTTACAATTGCGAAGCTTATGGTTGACAAATCAGACAACAAATAAAAACATACTAAAGACATATTATTAATATGGTTTGGTCAAGCGACCTACATATTGAAAACTAATATTAAAAAATCATAAATATGTTTAGCATCAAACTCTCCATAAACAAGACTCTTAAACGTCTACATTGTGGATGCTATTGTGTTCTTGATATAAGAAGAAGGATCTTCAATTTATAGAGTTCCAAACTTTACTTCCAAAGAAAGAATAACTCAAATATGGAAGAATATTATATTTTTCTTTCAGAAAAAGTCAAAACATTTATGGTAATACTTTGACTTTACTTTTAGGAAAAAATAAACTTCAACTAAGGTAAGAAAATCAGGGCAAAACCCTAACAAATCTCCCCTTTTGGCTGGATTTTCTTGACCAAACTTCATCCATCTTCTTCACACAATCTTCATATAGCACTGCTGCTTACCGTGATTTAAAAATTGATATGGGTTAAAAATTGGAGTCATGTGTTAAAAGTTATGATCAGAGTTGAAAGTGGAGCTCATACGTTAAAAGTAATATGCATGAGTTGAAAGTGGAGCTTATGCGTTAAAAGTAAGATGCATGAGTTAAAAGTGGAGCTCATGCGTTAAAAGTGAGATGCATGAATTAAAAGTGGAGCCCGAGCATTAAAAGTTTACTGGGGTTGAAAATTGATTTTGTTTTTAAGGATAGAGCACCAGGATTGTCAAAATATATTTGAAAATTTCCCCACATGTAGTAACACAAAAATCTTCATTATCACCAAATTTGTTGCAAATTAATTTGAAACCACTTGAACCTTTCTTCAATCTTGTTGAACCATAGGACCATCGGACTATGGGATCGTTGGATGTGCTCTGATACCACTTGTTGGGTTCAAAAGTGATTAGGGAGTCATGCGGAAGCTTCCAATTGCAAATCATATGGTCGACAAATCAGACAACAAATAAAAACATACTAAAGACATATTATTAATATGGTTTGGCCAAGCGACCTACATATTGAAAACTAATATTAAAAAATCATAAATATGTTTAGGATAAAATCTCTCCATAAACAAGACTCTTAAACGTCTACATTGTGGATGATATTGTGTTCTTGATATGAGAAGATGTATCTTCAATTTATAGCGTTTCAAACTTTTCTTCCAAGGAAAAAATAACTCAAATATGGAAGAATATTATATTTTCCTTTTAGAAAAAATTAAAGTATTTATGGTAATACTTTGACTTTACTTTTAGGAAAAAAAACTAAACTTCAAATAAGATAAGAAAATCAGGGCAAAACTCTAACAAAGAATAGGTTCCCTACAAAACCTTTTCAATTTTTTAATTGCATCTAGATTGACGAAGAAAATGATCCGTATAACACTTTACCATTTAAATATCATAACCGTATATTTTATTTTAGGGTATCTTTTATTTTAATATATTTTAATAAGTTCAAGGTAATACTATTTTTAAAAATTGGCCATAAAACCAAAAATGAAGAAGCATCTACGGGTGTTAAATTCAGAAAATAAAAAATGAGATACAGATGAATAAAACTTTCTTAAGCCTACTTGGAAAAATAACTATAATTCAAACTTCAAAGTGTAGAGTCTTCATTTTCTCCCACAGGCCACGGGGAAGATATTGACTTGGAAGAGTGCATCAACTATTATGTAGAGTGCAAAATAGATTTGTAATTAGATACCGTTTCTATGCATATGTACTGTCCTAACTAACTTTTTTCTAGACATTAATAAAAAACGTAATTAGGAATTGCAAAGTTTTAGTATCATATCTTCATACTTCATTGAATCTAATTTATATGACACTTTTTGCTTATTAAGAGTTAATTTAACTAATGTTGAAGCTAAATTAGAGTAGATCAACTTAATATTTTAAAAGTTATCAAATTTGAAGAGGTAAAAACACAAGTTATTTCTCACCAAAAATATTTTTTTAAATAACACTTTTTAAAAGAAACGGTTTTACATCAATCGTCCGTAGACAAGCTAAATAAAATCGTAGTCTGTAAACTAGGCCATTTTAAAAAAACGGAGAAAATAAGAAAGAAAAAGGTTACATTTTAAAATTGGGAAAATTGTATAAAATAACAAACTATTAATTCAAATTAAATGTTATAACCACAATTTTATTTAATTCTAATCCGTAGCAAACAATTTGCCACTCGCCTCTCTCCCCAACGAATCTTGCTCGTCACTCTCCCTCGCCTCTCTCACTTTATACAAACACAAATGTATAAATTGTGTTTCTGTTTGTATAAGCGAGAGTAAACTGTATAGACACATGCAAATACATATATCTTCGTCATATACACTTATAATTATACAATACAAATCTTGCATTGCCCAATTCTCTTTTGTCTTTCTCCCTATCTCGCTTTATACAAACACAAATTATACAAAATACAATGTATAATTTGTGTTTGTATAAAGCGAGAGAGATTTGTATACAAATCTATCTGTATACAAAAATACAGTTACATATACATATACAGATTTATATTTAAATACATATAATACACAAATACATATACTACTGAAAATCACAAAAAAGACATAAATACATAAATACAGTTACATATACATATACAGATTTTTATATATAAGTATATCGAAATATACAAATACAGATTTTTATGTATACGTATATCGAAATATACAGATTAATAGACATAGCAAACATATAGTTTGTTATGGAGCACAATTATGTAAACTATAGCTACAACATACAACTATGATTTTTATGTTTGTTAAACCTAAAATTTACTCATTAAAATTTGAGATATGGGTTTTCTAAAGTTATGGGCTGGTAAAAAGAGCCGATGCCTGGGCTTGGGCATTGAGACGATGTTCTATAGACCTATGATTCCCATATAGGCCTTTAAAGTTTTGGGCTGGAACCAACTAATTGGCTGATTTATACTAATAACCCTTATTATATTCAGATTTTGTCTCTCGATTAGTGAAGTTGTGCAAGTATAGTCCTTGGAAAAATTACCTTTGCGTACAAAGTCAGACTATTGTATAATATTTGCTCTCAAACTTATCTACAAAATATTAGACCATAGTGTAATGTTTGAAAGGATTTAAAACCATGATTAAATATTCATTTTAAAATTCTCTATTCGTTTTAACCGTGGTAAAAAAGATCACTGTTAACGGAGAAATAAAAAAGTAGCTAATTATTTCACTGATCACTGATTTGCAATGGCTTCTTAAAGACCAAATTTAAGAGTTCCCAACTAATAGAGCAATTAGGTGTGATCTTAAATTCAATCACGAGAATAGTCCTTATTTACCTCTCCAAAAAATAAATATCTAAAGGCACCAGCAGCAATGCAATCCAGATAACAACACAATCCTCATTCATGTCCAATCAACGAGCTCCACGTGTCAAAAAGTGCAACATGATATCGACACTGACCTTTCTGCTCCTGATCAATCACCAAAAGTATCATCAAAATATTCACAAGTCTTCCCAACAAACATTACACTTTTTTGAGTACTGTTCTAAAAAAAACCAATACAGTGAAGTGATCTGATTATCATTGTTGTTGTTATGCATATGTCCGATGCCGGATGCCGGTCCGTCACACCAAAGAATCGTAAATCCAAAACCCGAAACAAGCTGAAGCGCAGGAAACCAAAGTTCCTGAGCCTAAGTCTCGAGTTATCGGAGAAACCGTCAGATCATATGATTGTTTCACCATCCAACGGTAGCACACATGATCATGATCAGCTCAATCTCTTCCCACTCCACCCAGAAAATTTGGTAGATGATAAAGACAGTACTAGTACTGCCCAAGATGAGAACGTAGCTCTCTTCTTTGCTGCCGCTGAAAACAGCGCCACTACACTCAACGAAGTTCTCGTTTCTTCAAAGGATGAAATTGACAGCAACATAAGTACTAGTGTTCCCAATTACATGACAGTTTCGTCATCGGAGGCGAGCCTCACATTTGCCGACACTTACAGGTACAGGTGCCATTTTTTCTACTCGAAATTAAATTAAATAGATCTAGTAAGGATGGATTTACAGGTCATAATTAAACTCGACCAATATGACCCAAACTTCTATCGATTTTCTTTTTAAATTCACATATTTTTAAAATTTTTGCTTTGTTAATTTTGTGTTGCATTTTGAATGTTGGATTGACCCAATACTTGAGCGGGTTACTGAAAATTTGAGTTAATTTTGTGTTATAGAGGACAAGAGGGTGAGCTTGTACGGACGGCTCTAAGGAACAAAGAGAGGGAACACAGGGAAGAAGAGAAATGGGTTGTTTACTCGGATGTTGTTGATTTCGATCAACATAGTGAGAGTACGAGGAAGGATGAAGAAGTAAGTAGTTGTCCGTGGAACAAACATCATCAACGACGGCAACAACAATTGTCACTAAAGCTTGATTATGACGAAATATTGAATGCTTGGTCCGATAAAGGTCCACTTTACCTTCAGTCCGAGTCCCCCCAGATCGTTCCGGACATCCATGACGATTTTCTCGCCTACGACATGCCTTTTTCATTAAATGTTAGTTTTTCTTACCTTACTTTTAAATTTATGCTATCAGGTCATTTAAACGATAATTACAAGTAACATTAATGTTACACTTTTTAAAAGTCTTTTAAGTAGTTAGTATTAAAAAGAGAAGATGAGGAATTTAGATATCGGAAAGGGATGGTATCTTTAGGTTGTCACAAATTGAGGAAAGGATAACCTTTTATAACCAAACATAATGTAATGTTGAAACTATTCAACATGAAATATTGATATTTCACTATCTAATACACACACACAAAAGAAAAATTGCCGGTAATTTATTTAATAAGCATTGATTAATAATTAATTTAAGATATTAATTGATATCTAATTACATGCTATGATATAGAGTGTGAAATTACACTGATTTAGGGTAAATAACTTAAACCTGTTGATATATAATTGTGTAATATAGAAAATGCTTTAATTTATAACATACTCATTCATAGTAATCCCACTTTGGCGAGAGTAGAAAAGTAGGATGTATACAAATTTTATCTTTGTTTAGATAAAGAAATTGTTTACCGTAGATCTGTGACTCGGGAAATGCTTTAATTTGACTTAGAAAAACGTTCCATTGAAACTTTAATTTTGCAAAAGAGATGGCAGTTATATAATTGGCTGAAATGAGCTTACTTCCATCCTCGAGGCAGTTTCAGCTTTATGTATGAGTTTCTCTTTCTTCTGGCCAATGAGAATCCCTGTTTTGTTCTTACTATAGCTTTTGCAGATTGTTTTTAATTTTCTGTTTTTTGGATGTTTGCATCAAATAGAGTAAAGTTCTTTCGTTTTTTTTTGTGACAATGGTAGTAATTTACATGCATCTCGATTATTTTTACTGGGTAAGTATTAGTGCCTCCTATCAATTAATAAATACATCGAGTATCACATGAGAATTATTTACAAAAGGAGTAGTTAATGTCATGGTTAAATCTTAGGTGAAAGTGGTGGGTCGATAGATGTTAAATGTTGAAACTTACCATATTAAGTGCTGAGCACTTGAATTGTCCTGACCCTCGTGGGGCCAGCTTTTACTTAATTAGCTCAAACTTTTTCCTGTCTTTATTCGTCTGCAAGCTGTAGGCTACACCTCCATCAGCCATTCAGTAAGGAATTGTAGCTCTCCGTGAAAACTTATTAAAACACATGTGAATTTTTGTCTCACAACTCCATAATTGTCTCTTTCAGTACTAGATAGTCATTTTTTTTTAGTCTAGGGCAGTTCAACAAAATTGGTGGCTTAAAATTAAAATATAATTTAGAAAGACTTTAAACTTATTTCATGTAATAATGATACACAAAATAAACTTGCATGATTTTGTGCTAGCACAACCTGTGATGTGTGAAGTAGACAAACAATATAGTTCAAACTTTATGGTGGTACTGGAGTGACAATCCTATTACGCATAGAGTTTCAAATATTGTGTCATTTGTGGATTTCTCGATTCAAATTAAAAGAAGTTGTTTCATGATTGTATTAAACATGACAAAATGAAATAGCTAATTCAAAGGACAACATCGTGATTTGTATAGGGGCAACTTATGAGTATCAGTTCAGTTGTGCCAGAAGTAATTGGAAATGAAGAAAGAGAAGTAGAGGATGAGGAGATGAAGGCGGGACGAAGAGAGGCGAGTGTAATGAGGTACAAAGAGAAGAGACAGAACAGACTCTTCTCTAAAACTATCCGATATCAAGTTCGCAAGCTCAACGCTGAAAAACGCCCTCGCATTAAGGTAATTACATTATTAATGTTCGTGACATAAATAAAGTTTTAGTCCATTCATGTCTTGTCGTTAGCAAATTGTCTTATAATTTTGCAGGGGAGATTTGTTAAGAGGGATTGAAGTGTGTTTTTTACCTCAATTGGAGAAGTAAAATGTGTGGGAAATGGAAAGCAGTATGTGTATTGTAGTTTTGATATATATACTGTTATAAGGAGAAGCATACGCAAAGGAGCTCTTGTCAATCAATGAAATAATATTCTACTCCTAAATTGGAAGTATGAGGGCACATAAATGGGAAAATGCAGAGATATGTAAGAGTTCAATTGGTTCAGATAAAATATTGTTAGCTTTCTCAAGAGGGAAAATAGCAAAAAGCTCTTTGACTGTTTTGTCATTAACACTGAAATTAATGGATGCAGGGCCTCCTTTTATTGCACTTTATTATGATTTATATTATTTGTATTTTGTAGTTGTAAGTGAAAGTGACCATTTCAAAATTATATTGTACCAAAATTGTAGTTTTTTTTTTTTCCTTTAAAAACTAATCAATGGGACAAGAAGTTCAGAACCATTTGCAAGCATCTGTATTTATATATACGTAAGCTTTAACCTATACTCCCTTCATTTTCTCTGTTTTATATTTTAATCTATTTTTTTCTCGATAGAGCGTCAATATAATTTTTATATTTGTTATTCCTAAAATTTTACTCAAAGAAGAAACATAAGCATGTAAAGTTTGCGTCATATTTTCTGATGAATCAAGAAGTCAGAGAATAATATTTGAATTCAAATGAGCCTTTTGCTATATACTTCAAACTTAGAGATTTTTGAATGAAAGAAATAAATATACTACTCCACCAATTAACAGAAAAATAAAACATGTCCTTTTGCAAAGGACTCTTTTTCTTTCTTTAATCAAAAGAAGCAGTTCTTGAGAAGTTGTACACGTGGCAGTTTAATGGATCAATAAGATGAAAGTGGTAGTACCTTCTAATACTGAATACGAGTACTAGTAGAAGATGGAAGCTTTTAGAATGATCCAAACAGTATTTTTAATTTTTTTTTATTATTTATAAATGAACATGCTAGATGTTTTTCTTTTATCCACGTTAAGAAGTTTCAAGACCAATTTGAACCCACTATATATACTTGTGCAAAGTTTCACTTATTCCACAGACAGAGAAAGAAGTACAATTAGTTAGTTGATTTAAGTGGGAAAAAAAAGATGTGCAGCTTATTGAGGAGCAGTGATCCAATTGTTGGGATGATGAATATGTGTCCTGTTTTGAGTACTCCAATTGACTGGAAAGAAACACCTCAAGCTCATTGCTTCTTCGTCGACCTTCCAGGTATTAATTTAAACGAGTTAAAATAGATTTACTGAATAAATATCAACTTTATTTTTAATGGATTTGGCTAAAATTGGTTGAGCTAATAAATGAATGAGTCAATAGTTAATCCAAATTTGGACGGATTGATTGAGCAATGTTTTTGGGCTACTTCTATGGCATCTACTTCTTAACCATATAATTTTTTACTTGAGCACAACAGTAAAATTTGAACATGTATGTATGTATATATAAGTTATAACCAACCTCAGCCTCAACTTGCAGCATTGGTGAATTTTGAAATTAAATTATTTTGTGATTTTTGTATTATAATAGAGTATAAATTGTTTGAAAGAGGACATATTTAATTATATTGTTGGTAACATACAGGGCTTAGCAAAGAGGATGTGAAAGTCGAAGTGGACAATGGAAGAGTACTGAAAATTAGTGGAAAGTGGAAAGCAGAAGAAGAAGAATTAGTTGATGAAAATGAGAAGACGAAGAAATTAGATGTGAAGTGGCATAGAGTGGAACGTAACAGAGGGGATTTCTGCAGAAAGTTTAGGCTTCCACAAAATATAAAGGCACATCAACTCAAGGCATCCATGGAAAATGGTGTCCTTATTGTTACTGTCCCTAAACAAGAAGTCAAAAAACCTTTCTCCAAATTAATTGAAATTGAAGATAAATAAACATAGATAGACTTTTAAGTAATTATTAAGGATTGCAATTTTTTTGCATAAATAAATTGTCTGTATGTCTACTTTGTAAGGTTGTATGTTGTGAGTGCCGTTCCATGTTTTTATAGTATGTTTTCTGTAATTTTCCTTGTGGTGAACTGTGATTAATAAATGAATATTATCATCTGAATTTGTTGTATTTATCATTGCTATAAATTTGTCAAAAAAGATAGAATCAGACTAATGGTAAAAATAATGAACTATCTTAATCACTGGATCTGTTTCAAAAAAAAATTCTCTCCGTTGTAGGAATCTCTATGGTTTTTTTCTTTTTTCTTTTGTTTCCTACCCCACATTGGTGATGCTCAGATCAAGTCTGTAGCAGCCAATTAAGGGCTCATAGTTTCGAATTTCGAATTTGATACTTCATGTTGGTAAAATTTCAAATATTGAATTTGATACAGTAAAGCAGTTGTGAAAATGTCGTCTCACAATTACACTATTGGTAAAATCCATGAGGTTGAGACTATTCATAACGGGTTAATGTTTTTCTTAAAGAATTAATCATAACCGGTTACCCAGTAGCTTGTCTTTCTATTTAACTTTAATCATGGTATCGTTTTGGGCTAAGAAAATAGATTTGTTTCACGTTACATGACAGTTAAAATTTATCATAGAGAAAAATATTTTGCATCTCTTAAGAATATCCGGGTTTATTCGTTTAACTGTGTTACGATTCGGATTCTATTATTGTGTATCGTAAGATGACAATTTATAACATCACAAATATTAGAAAGAGAGTAAATGAAACAAGGTAGCAACGTAAGGCAATTTTGTCAGGAATAGCTAGTTTTAAAACTGTAGAAAAAATAGAGTGGAAACCAACAAGGACTAAAGGTGAACATATCAAATAATGGCATTAAGCTGTTATTGGGCCACTCGATGGTGACAACCCTTTCATCTTCTAAGCCCAAACAACAAACAACATAAACTGTCAAATACTTTTGGTCTCGCCTGCCTCATGGCAAGCTATTAAATATGCGGATAAGATCAAACTAAAATAAGGGCAAAACTATCTAACTAAATGTATATTATTATTATTATCATATATACTATATTTATCTCTAGTTTAAACTAATTACACATACTATTACTTTTAATATTTATATCATATATTTTAAAAAATTTAATCACATAAACAAATCCCTTAAATATAATATTGGATAATTATATTCTCATGTATCTTGGTTTTGTATCTCAGTTAAAGTTCATAATGTTATGAAGCTCAATTTTAAAAGTTTTACAAATAAGGTTTTATATTTTTTTATTTTAATGTTTCTCAAGCACATTAATAGCTGATCATTCCTAAAATCGGATGATTCTTGTAAAAGGTAATATACATTAACAATATTATACTAAATCAAACTTTTATTTGTTTATTTTCACTAACGAATTTCTCATTGCCGAGATTGACTCTTCATCCGCCAACTTTCAAGTCGAGAATAGATCTAAGTAAAGAAATGACTTCATCAAGTTGGAAGGATTATGTCAAACTTTAATTAACAGAACAAATACAACATTAGATACACATCAAGTGCAACAATGTTAGATAACATCAGGTGTACATGTATCTAGTTAAGAGTTCATGTATCTGAGTTAAGATTATATGTATCTATGAGAAAAACATTCAAATCCTAAAAAAAGGAAAAAGTTTGATTTTTTTTACTTTTTTTTAATTAATTATTAGACATATACTCTACAGTCATGATTTGTTTATAAATTCATGCTTTTTAGTAACATTTCATATTTAGATACACATAATTATATGAATATACTTACTATGTATCCGAGATACATGCTTTTGAATATGATGTATGAAAATGATACTTTATACATCAAATTAATATTAGATACATATAAATGATACATGAAATTAAAATTAGATTGTATAAATAGATACATGAAATTAATATTAGATCATATAAATAGATATATGAAATTAATATTAGATCATATAAATAGATATATGAAATTAATATTAGATCATATAGATCATATAAATAGATATATGAGATAGTTGATATATACATATAAAAGATACATGAAATAATATTAGGTCATATAAATAGATACATGAAATTAATACTAAACACATATAACAAATATACGAATCAATATTAGATACTTCTATGATACATATGAATATGCTTGTATGATACTCATATATTTAAGTGTTTAGTTTGTTGGATACATCATATATCGATAATAGATAAATCAAATTAATGAATTTATTATTTTAAGAATAATAAAACGAAATTAATCAAATTACCTGACCAAGATATACATGTTTTTGTCTTTACTAATAATATTAATGAATTTATTATTTCAAATAATAATAAAATAAAATTAATCAAACATAGATACACTCCTTGATTTCTGTATTATATTAAGGGATTTGATTAATTTAAATTTCCAGAATTAATTATCCAAGTATGATGAAAATCCTCATTTACTCTTCTAATTAGGAAAATCAGTTACAACCAACTAATTTAAACAAATAAAATTTGTATCTCGGTTTTAAAATTGGACAAATACATGTAACACTTGGATTCAAACTCATGTATCCTAAGCATGAAATATGATAGAGGAAGTAATATTTGAAACTATCAAAAATCGTATTAATTAAGACCTAAATTAATAAAATTTATGTAATTTTTTCCTTAAATAACTACATTAATAAATAGGCGGATCAATAATTCGTTCATGCACTAAGATATGTCAAAGACTCAAGATGGATCACTAATTAGCACTTCATCATGCCAATGGCAAGGACAATTAGTTTTCATGAGAATAAAAATTGTACGACAGGCTTGAAGAAGAAAAAAATCATTTAATTGATTAGACGATAGAAAACTTATAAGGTTTCTATATATCTAAGTGAGAGGAAATTGCAGAATTAAGTAATTAAATTAGTTAGAAATTGACTGACGTCCAAACAATGTCAAACACCAAACTCTTATCTAAAATAGAAAACAATTAAGACCCATTACCAATAATATAACATAATGTTGCTTTCCAGATTGTCAATTCACTAGTACGTACGTATAATATAATCAACTTGCAAAATTGCTAGTGAATTTGGGGTCCCTACTTGCTTCTTAAAAACAAAGCATCACGCGTGAACTTATAAAACAAACACCATTATATTATATTATATTATATTCACTAGTAAAATAGGGACCGATCGATATAGAAAATGTAAATTCTACTCCATTCACCTTCTTCTTTATCAATCCTCCTTAAGTATGTGATATTTATATTCTGTTTGTAGGGCCTTTTTTCTCTCTTCTTTTTGGCTCAACTTTTCATTATTAATTATTAAATTATGCACGCCTGTACTCCACTGTTTTGTGCCTTATTTTCGACCTAGCCGTGTAGGAGGCCCCAAACGAAAATCTACTTGGTTCCTTTGGTAGGAGGGATAAGAGATACTAATTAAAATGTGGATTAATTTTAGGATGATTTTCTTTTATATTTAGTTGGATAGAATTGTAAAATAACTTATTCTGAAATTGTAAAGCTATTTTAATCTCACATTTAAAGTGAATTAATTTTGAGATAGCTTGTTTCCAACCAAACGAGCCCTAAGAGATTTGGTTTGGAAAATAAATAAATAAAGAAATGGTTAGAATCCCTCAGTACATAGTCAATAATTATTTTTCATTTAAGTGGTCAACCAAAATAGGATCTAAATATACATTTACATATATATTCAAGCGGTGAAAATAATAAAATATCACAGTAGAAAATAACATTGAGAAAATTAAAATTAGTATAGTAACATTTACAAACTCGATAACCTAATCGAGATGCACGAGAACGTTACACATTAATTTTCATATATGCTACCACGGGATTGGGGTCGCATATAAAATTAAAATTTGCTATTACACACCATAAAAACAACAGCATAATCTAATTTGGGCAAGTTGGTGAGCATATACTTATCACCATTCTTGATCCATCATCACTCATTTTCTTGATGAGGAGGGGGGTTAGTTTTTTTTAAAGAAAAAAATTACACATTGCACACACTAACAATGTTAACTAGTAGTACTATGATTATTATTTATTTTTAGACACAAATAGTGTGGTAAGTGGATCCAATGACTTGGACATGTCCACTTGTTGCTTGTTTCCTCTCTTTGATAGCTGGATCTTCAAAGAGTAACACTTTGTCTTTGTCTTTCACCCCCACCATGTGCAAGTATTCACAATCCTCTCTTTCTTTCCCTTTGTATAATAGTCTTTGTTCTTTTGGCTCTAAACCAGTTACCATTGCCAGTATCATCTTTAATTCTCCTGTCATCAATAAATCACACGTTAGAATAATGCAACAATCTAATTAAGTTTAAACGAATTGACAACAAGTTATATCTGTTTGACTTGACAAATTACATGTTGAACCTGAGTACTATTTGAGTCATAAAAATCGGTCAAAACACAAAACCAAAGTTAGAAATTGGGAATTATAGTTGAAAGAAGTTAATAAATCAAAACATTAGCTTTCACATTTTTTTCCAAAAAGAAAAGGGTTATATTGTGTTGTATATTATTATGAGGTGATAGTTTGATCTATTTTGGCTCCTATATACTAGTAAAAGTGAGCCAAACTTACCAAAAGATGAAGTTGGTTGTATAGAAATGTGATGGCATTGAGTAACAGTAGAGACTCTAAGAGTGATAATAGAATCTCCATCATTCTCTGCACATTCTCTCTTCTGTACCAACATACCTCCTGGACGTAATTCCCATTTTATTTCACCACCTAATTTGGCGTCGCTCCCTGTTACTGCGGTGGCATTACTACTTGCAACCACCTTTGAGTTGCTTCTGAACAACTTTTTGCATCTCAACTTCATCATTGGCTTTACTTGTAAAAATATAATTTGTTAAGAAAGGCTTAGTGGGATAAACAAAGTGGAGGAATTGGATTGTTATATATAGGGATGAATTCATGAGGGGCCCCTATGGAGACAAATAGCAAACTGAGAAAGACATAAAAGTAGCCAACATGCTTAACAATAAATTTATTTATTTATTTATTACTATCATAGCTAACGATAAACATATGTGGGCCCAAAAAACATACACTTGCACCCATGTTTACACCTCAAATAATTACGACTTGTAATTTAAAATTAAAATATTTATCTAGATTTTATTTATATTTCTCTTAAGGCGAATAAGTTTTTTGCGATAGAACCTTGACTCTCAAAAACGTGTAATTAAGGCAAGGTTGAAAATAAAATAACAAGATAAAAAAAATAGTTTATAATAGTAAAAAAAGAAGAATAAGATGCATGAATACTTAATAGGGTAGTGCTAAATGGCCAGAAAATTTAGCCAGAATTTTAAAAAGTTTATAATATCTTTTTTATTTTAAAATAAACTGATCTTTTTTTCATTTTTAAATAAAAGTGATTCCCTCTATCCCTAATTACTTGTCCACTTTTGAATTGATACACCTATTAAGAAATAATTAATGACATAGTGAGTTTACCATTTTACCTCTATTAATTATGAAGTGAATGAAAAGTTCTACATTTTTCAAAATAATTAGTCATTTAATTGAGGATATAATAGGTAAATGGAATTTGTCCTTTCTTGATTTGTCAAAAATTGACAAGTAATTAGGGACAACTATAAAAGAAAAAGTAAACAAGTAATTAGAGACAGATGGAGTATTAAAATTAAAAGGGTAAAAATGTTCAAAAAGATAAAATACCATAGTGTGAAATATATTATTTTACTATTCTGGTCAAAATTTTGACCAAATTTTCTAACAAAAAAGATTTTACATCTATCCCTATGTTGTAAAACTAAAGTAAAACAAGACAAGAAATATAAAAGATGATAGCAATAGAAATAGGGAGACAAGAGATGAGAGCTTTTCTTATTCTTCATAGTATTCAAGTGTTCACCAAATCTTCAAGTCTCTACAATATGAACCTTTATGCCTCTATTTATAGTGTAACATAGAGGCATACAAAAGGTTAGTCATAAACATGACATTAACATGAATATAATGGGGAGGTTATGGAAGTGAAAGGTTACAAGAATAATGGTTATAAAGGTGGAGGTTATGGAGGTTATGGTTATCTTCATAATGGAGTAACTTCTTGATGTAGTGGACATCCACAATATATTATTTTGTAACATAATCTAATATTTAATTAATTAGATGATTAAGGTATAGTTCAGTGCCATTAGATCCAATATAACTATAGATTTTAGAGACATTTACAAAGAATACTAGCTAATTTCCACTAAAAATACTATTTAGCAAGAATTAAGTTGTTGTCATTAATTAATTGTCATTAAAGATCATTTTTAATGTGGTGTAAGTTTGATTTACCGATTACTAAATTATCAAGAAGAAATTTAAAATTTGGTATTTGGTATTTGATATCTACTTTTAACTACCAACTATCGAATTACTAAATCCAAAAATTAAAAATTATGAACCGAATACCGAATACCCACCCGTAATTGACCGTAGATAAACGTGAGACAAATATTATACATTGTATCTTGATTACATGCTTTTTAGATAGCTACTACAATAAAATAGCCAAGTGCTTAAATGTGGTCGGCGACATTCCAAAAATAAATAAATGAGAACAAGCTATATATAAGGAATCAAAATTGAGGATCAAATAAATATTTGTCTATAATGGTACTTCAAATCTAAGTTTTTACAATTGATCAAATTTACAACTTACGAATTTTGAAGTAGGGATAATTTATAGATTTTATAAAATTTATTAAATATAATCCATATAAAATTTGAATTATATTTATTTGGCTAAAAATATTATTTGAGCTAAATAAATAAATAAATTTATCTTATTAAATTCAAGTTTGAAGACCATTTTATCATGAGGTTTAGATTCGCGGATCGTGATACGTGTCAAGTGATATAACATTCCAATCAAATACATGACCAATAAAATGATTCCACTTATTCAAATGACGTAACAATTCCAATCAAATTCAAGAATCAATCAAAATTGTCAAGTATCCATAATCATGTATTTTGGTCCAATCAAAAACAATCTTATTACATTGAATTTGTGATAAGTTTGACGTGAACCAATTAAAAGAAGATAAACAAATTTATTGGGGGATTATATATTTTCTGAGACAAATATTAGAGAAAGACAACATAAACTACATTCAAAAAACACACTATTGACGGCCTCCTCGTCCAAAGCACTAGCAACAAATCCAAGACTTAACTACAAGGTAAAATTTTGCAACTCGATTTGATTTTTCTTCTAAAATGTCAAATCCAACTCTGTTTGGGCATAAAGTTGAAACTTTAAACAAGGTTTTAATATATTTAAAGAATATTAGAATGTTTGTTAGAAATATTTACTTAAATTTAAATGAAAAAAAACTTTTGCACAGGTGGCGCTAAAAAGTCAAATCATGTTGTGCAACTCAAAAAAGTCACTTCATATTCCTCTCCCCTTTTCTACTGTGTTTCGGAAATAGCTATGGTGTTGGAGTATCCACCCCCTAATCAGATTTCAGGTTCCAATCAATTAACCATCCCTGAAGGTTTGATGGAGCCTGAGTCACTGAACCGTAGTAGCAATGTGGCTGAGGCAATGATGAATGAGATTGAGAAGGATCATATAAGGTATAAGGAAAGAGATCATTGCAGAAGAGGTTGCTCGAAGGCGGATGTTAGAGTTGGAAGTAAGGAGAGAGATTATTGACGATTGTCAATATGCTTTCAGATCCGTAAACCATATACGGGGTGTTTAAATTTTTGAGAAGTGCTTCTTTTGGTGTTTGATAATATAGGATAAGCCTGACACGATTTTCTCTGGAGCAAAACGAAAAGCTATAACACCGACTGAAGCGGTTGCTGACAAGCCTTCATTAAGCAGTGCTCCAGTGAAAAACGTTAAGGAGTGGAGTTGTGCACTTTGTCAGGTATGTACTACAAATCAAGATGGTCTGAATGTCCACTTCCAAGGAAAAAAACACAAATGCAAGGAGGCTGCTTTTAGAGAACAGAAGGACAACAAAAACTGCGGCATTGCTCTTTCACCAAAGAAACAAAAATTCATCCAACTTGTGGAACATGATCTGATATCAAGGAATCAATTTGAGGAAGGATCATCAGGTACAAACGATAACGATCCTCCATCTTTGTTGATAGATGACGGTACGAATGACATGAGAAAGAATACAATTCATGGAAAACAAAACAATGTGGAGTAACGAGGATCTAGGTAATTCACCCCACATATAATTTTCAACTGCTAAACATATCTCCCCCTAATGTTAGGAATCTAACATTTACCCCCAACCTCATTTGGGGATCCATCTTTGTGTGTGGTGGAGCAAT